GGGACCAAAAAAATGTGTCCCAATATATCGGTACAATTACAAAACGGATCCAGGATTTTTCGGAACGGTCCATGCCAACAGGAACGGATTTCACGCCCACCCCTAGTTCTAAGACCTTCTACAAAGCAAATTATATACGCCTTTCATCCAATAACTAGCATCACTCCCGTGCATTGCACGGGTCACGTTTATATTATTAAATTAAGATCATTTTTGAAGGATACAATTTCTTATCTAATACTCCCTCCGTCCCTGAAACATCTCCTCCTTTCATTTTTTCTTTGTCCCACAAACTCCTTCTTTTTTCTATTAAAAAACTACTTTTACCCCTTACTTTTTCATACTCTACCTATCACATCATACCTTTTTACTAATAATCTATCTATCACATCTTACTTTTATCAATCACATCAAGGGTATTTTTGGAAAGTCAACACCAAAATATCCCTCCCTTAGTTTTCCAAAAAGTCAATAAGAGAACTTCTTTCGGGACAGAGAGAGTAGAATATAAAGATTTTATTACTTTAAGGTACAAAAGTTAATTGTTTTACAAATAACGAAAGACTTCTTTATAAACTACATTACTCGTATAATTTTTATATATCAAACTTTTAAAACATTTATTTATTTAAAGACTTATTAATTATTTTCTACTACGAAAGCATGAATCTTATTTAAAAACTCAAAAGAGTGTAAGTCATTCAAAAAATTTGAAAGATGCTAATTACGAAAAGTGATTGAGAATGACTGTATTTTTTTTGAAGGCAGAATGACTGTATTTAAAGTATGAAAAAATTAAAGTATTTTTCTTTTTTCATGCATCTAATTTTTTCCGACTAAGTTACTAATTAGTGGTTGATTGTTCAACATATAAATGTATATATTATTCAATATGTTTCCATGTATTAAAGACACACCTCTTAAAACAATGTATCCATAAAACGTTTGGGCCTGGATCTGTAAATGGAAACATTATTAAATTGAGAGCTTATTTGGTTAGAATTATTACACGATAATAATAACTAAGTACGATAATATTGTTACACGGTTTATTATTATTATTATTATTATTATTCTTTCACGACAATAAATTAATAATGATTAAATACATTAATATTATTGCACGGTATATTAGTATTATTATTTTTTCTACACGGTAATACATTATTTATTCTTGCTACAAAGTAATTTATGATTTAATTATTCTTTCTATATTCAACACTTAACATATGTGCCACCATTTCTATGTATTACTTTGACATTTTTTATATTAGATTTCTTTTATTATTTTTTATTTTGATTTTTTTAATCCTGCCTTCCTTAAATGCATAAACTTATATAATTAAATTTCTTCATAAAATATTTGGCACCGAATCTCTAAATGGAAACATAATTAAATTGAAAGCTTATTCTCTTAACATAATCACGCCGTAATAAATTAATAATGATTGAATATGGTAATATTAAGTTTGGCCATGTTCTCTAAATGGAAACATTTTTAAATTGAAAGCTTCTTAGATTAGAATTATTAGACGATAATAATGACTAAGTACGGTAATTTTATTACACAGTATATTATTATCATTTTTCTTGCATGGTGATAAATTAATAATGATTAAATACGGCAATATTATTACACGATATATTAATATTATTATTCTTGTTACACGGTAATACATGATCTATTCTTATTACACGGTGATTTATGATTAAATTATCATTTATTTATTCAACACTTACTATATGTACCACCATTTCTATGTATTACTTTGACATTTCTTTTAGATTTGATTTCTTTCCGAAAAGGAAACAAATGGTTTGCATGATTAAAATGGGTTAGTTGTTTCTAAATTGGAAGGAAACAAATGGTTTGTATGATTAAAATGGTTTGTTTCTTAATTAAAAATTATATAAATTACGAAACTGTAAATGTAATGCATTGATTAAAAAATTTACACCTTAACGTGATTATTACCTTTTATGGACAAATATTATTTTTATTTGAATGGTAATCAATTTTTTTATTATATCAATTCCAATTTTATAAAAAAGTTCGGTATTAGAAAAGAAGTTTATATAAACAATATTTTTTATATTTTGTTTCCTTTTTAGAAATATATTAGGCATGCAAAATTTCCTTTAATTTATCATTCTAAATAGGAATAGAGTAATTAAGTAATTATGCACACGAAATTATTTTAAAAAGGAAACAATGTAGATCTTGTTTGTGAAATTAGTCCCTTCTTTTTTTATCAGAATTAAGTAATTATGCGTGCGAAATTTCCTTTAATTTATCATTCTATTATTCTTAAAAGTATTTCCTTTTAAGAATAGAGTGATTAAGTAAATAATTACCTATTTAATTAGGCATAAATAATTACTTTTTGATAAAATAATCAGGCGTAAATTATTGCAAGTAATTATAATAATAATAGTAATAATTAGGCGTAAATAATTACCTATTTAAAAAGGAAACAAAATATAAAAAATCTCCTGCACCATCCTTCCTTTTTTTATCACAATCAAGTAATTAGGCGAAATTGGTTATGAAACAAATTACTCCCTTCCTTTTTTATCAGAATAGAGTGATTATGCATGCAAAATTTCCTTTAATTTATCATTCTAAATAGGTAATATTACACAACCAATCATAGCCGTAGATCTTGTTTGTTCCTTGATATCGACGGGTAGGAGATGAGTGCATTGGGCGGGAAAATAATTCCCCTGCTTTTAAGAATAGAGTGATAACAATGTTTTCATCTATTATTTACAATGTCGAATTTTATTTACTTTGTTGAGGTATTTTTTATGTTAATTTATTAAAACAATATAAGTATATGTCATCGATCTCTAGTTTTGTAGATTTTTTAATGTAGTTTTTAAATATGTAATTTTATTTTTTAGTTCCATACGATTTTTCATATGAAATAATTTGAAAAAAACTTCTGTCAAACATCGTAACATGCAACGTGAATATTATTATTGGATGGAGGAAGTATAATACTCTATTCATCTCGAAATTGATTTAGAAAAAGTTTTGGCCACCTTTTGTTTGTTAATATATTTTCATTGATAGTTTAATAAAATAAAATACTCTGGCCACCTTTTGTTTTGTAGAACTTTTAATATTTTTTTTAATATATCAATTTTATTAACTATTCTTATATCAATTTTTAAATTAATTGATTTAAAAAGATACGATATTTTACCTCATTAATGGGAAATTTAAATCTAAATTGGGACGGTCGAGCGCAATATTTTATTGAAACTAAAAGTACAAATTTGTGAAAAGAGTTGAATTGTAATAATTCTAAGGTCTACATATAAAATATATAACTTCCCGCATATTCTTATGGACTCTTAGTTGGATCACCTTCCCATTACATAAAATTATTTTATGGGTGAAGGTCTATGAAATGATTATAAATCTGATGATCACGGAAACTGATGATCACGAAAACATCTATGTTATGGAAAAATACGAATGATTTTCTACACTACTTATTTCAACTACTTCATTCGTCCCAAAGTTAGCATCGTAGTTTTACTAATTTTGTGGTCATTTTAACTAAAAATAAAATAAAAATTTTAAATAACAAAATATTACCCCATCCACCTCAAAAAAAGATTCATACTTTGACTTGACACAAAGTTTAAATAAGTAAAAATGTATGACTGAAAGTGATACACAGGAGAGTAAAAGATTCTAAGCTACTCATAATTTTCTAAAAATGTAAAGAAGAAACTTTTTTTAGATGTCTGAAAAAAGAAATAATAAGTGTTTTTTATGACAGAGGTAATATAAAAATTTAATTTATTAATATTATATTTTAAAATTAACCCATTTACTACGTGAAACAAAGAAGTATAAAGAAAATTGGAAGGTCATTATATTTGGACCGACAGCACACCAAAACATAGCCCAAATGCTATTTGTGTGGGCTGGTATTTGCAGACCAGATGGTAAGTGTGCTCATTAACCGGTCTTGCCCATTAATAGGTTTGTGTTTGAAAGAATGAATTTTTAAATTGTACGGAGTATTTAAAAAACATTCACAAAATAAAAAAGAAATAAAAATTGAACATATACTTATTTGTCAAATTAAATATTTTTTTATTTTTTATCTAAAAAGTTTTTTGTTTTTTAATATATCAGAACCAAAAGAGTACTAAATAAGGTCTTTTAATATATTGTTAGTTATATATTAATAACATTTTCATATCGATGCGCAAGAGATTTCCATCACGACTTTATAAAATTATTTTTTCCACATACCTTTCTTTTTATTTATTTTTCTATTGTTTTAATTTTGATTAAAAATAAGGAATCACAATAACTTAATTTTAAAAAAAATCAAAATGGGAATAAATAAATAAATCATAAAATGAACAGAAAATGAGAAATGAGTTTTAGTGTAAAAAGAGAATGTTTCATTGGTTTTATGTATCATGAAAATGAACCAATAAAAATATCTTTTAAAAAAAATGAAAATGTTTAATTTGAAATGAATGAAGTGTACGTTAATTCTTTTTCTTTAATTAAATTTTTATTGCAAATACAAATAACTTTTATTTGTAAAACATTATAAAAAAAATCTTAAAAAGAAATTTAAAACAATTAATGAAAAAATAGTAGATAAAAATAAAGAAAAAGAGAGAGGGTGGCTTGGTGCCAATTTTGAAAACTATGGGGGCAAGAGATCTACTGATCTAACATTCGAAAAAAAATTTAGACTAGAAAGACATTGTCGTAGCAATATCAGAACTATGAGAGGCAACGGCGTAAATTTTAAAATATATAAAATGTAATGATAAATATTTTTCAAACCATAGAAAACACTCTACAATAAACGTGTTTATAATGTTAATTAGACAAATTTATTGAGACGAGTATATATAAAATGAGAAAAATTCCCTTATAAAAAGAGGAAAATACCGACGGGGTCCCACAGTCAAGCTGTTCATAAACTATAAGTCTATTACTTCAACTTCGCTTTCAAGGCCCAATTAATCCCAATTCCCCCCTTCTCTCTCTCTCTCTCTCTCTCTCTCTCTCTCTCTCGAACGTTTCCTTTCTTCAGTTCTTCCTCTTCTTTTAGGAGTTTTGGGAGGATTAAGGGTTTTCTTTTTTTAAATTAAAATAGAAAAAAAGAGGAATGGGTTCGTGTGCTTCGTTGCACAAGGACCAGGAAACTCTAATGAATAGGCGCCTTGTGAATTCGTCGCCGGTCAAACTCCAAATCGCCGCCGCAAGTGCCGTTGACCACTCTAAGTTTTCCGACACTCTGCCTCCGCCCCTCCCCCTACCGGCGGCTTCTGTTGACTTTGGTTCGATCCCTTGACTCTCTCTCTCTCTCTCTCTTTAATGTAATTTTAAATATAAATTTTTATTTCTGATTTTATGTAATTTTTGTATGTGGATGTAATCTATCTAAAGACTTTGGTCAACAAGGTAAAAAAAAGGGTAAAAAAGAGAGTCCAACATGTAGTGTAGGAACACGCTGTTCTTAATACTAGAACAATATTAAATGGCTGGAACAATTTGTCTTTTTTTGCTAGCTTATGCCAAATAATTTCTGAAAATATTGAGTATTAAAATAATCTGTTGTACACTCTTTTTTTTACCTGGCTTCTTCTTTTTCGTAATAATGGAACATGCTGGTTCCAATTTACCCATTACTGCGGTTGGGTAAAATCTCTATAACTCAAAAGAACATTTTTTTTTTCAAAATTGATTTTAAAGAAAGAATATCTATATGTTCTTTGTGCTTCATCATGGTTCAATCCTTGATTAGTTCTACATCCTTGGTCTGAATAAACATGGTTATCATGAGGGCAAATCCGTCATTTTCTTCACAACATTATTAAAAAATAAAAAGTCCTATAGGAACTAGGAAGAGCTTTCCATGTGATTCTTTAGCTGACAAGAAGAGCATGTTTAGGCTTTATGGTAGGGTTAAAGTTTCATATGGTGATTGTTGAGAAAGTAAACAATGAAAAGCAACCCATTATTCAAACTTTCCCAAAGGAAAAGTAATTTCTACCAAACATGGCTTTCAAGCTCCATTACAATAAGATTTTTTTCTTAGTGTATGAAATATGCACAAGTAAATTTCAATTTACCCCAGCTTGAAGTTACCACAGGTTTACAATTGGTCAAGTTGAATGAGTTTGGAAGGTTGTTTTGGTTTCTATGTAGTTTTTGATGGATCTAACATTTCTGATACTCTTTTTGGACATTGGTTTCTTATTATATAGGTAGCAAAGATGAATCATTTTTTGATTCTCAACTCTACTTTGAGTCTGATTGTGATGATGACTTTCATAGTGTTAAAGGAAGTGAGTTCTATTTATTTTGCAACTAAATTTAATCTGCATTACTTCCCAAGTTTCTTGGTTAACTTACCCTTGAAGTTTTCTTTAACAAATGCCTAATTTGATAAATAACCAGTTTGAGGTTGGTTAATCCCAATCAATCCAAACAGAGCGTTAGTAATCACAATGTGTCTTATGATGCCTTCATTGATTCATCAAATACGCAGATTTCACGCCGTCCAGAGGGAACACGCCGGTCCACCATAGATTTCCAGCGGGAGGGACGACAGTACTTATGAGTGACAGAATTCCCATTTGTACCCCTCCTATAACATCTCCAACTGATCACAGTCAGAAGAAGAGCCTTGCAGACTTTTTCAGAGAAAGTTCTTGGGGTGGGGCTGAAGAAGAAGATGAAGAAGTTGGTCATGCTTTGGATTCTTCCATGAACGCCGCCACTAAAAGGTCCACTCCGGGATCATCGGCTTTTTGTTCCTCCGCATGTAGTAGTAGTAGAACTACTGCTACCACCACCACTACTACTACTACTACTACTGCAAGTCATAGCCAAGAACTCAAACTCTCCGTTTCATCGGAATCGCGAAAACAGGGACAATGTTGTCTTCCTGTTCCGAGGTTGCTTTCCCGGCGTAGCTTTGGCGCGGAGAAGAAGAATACGCCGCCGCGCGAAACTAAATAGCCCATACCCATAGGTAATGGGGGAAAGAGTATAACCCAAATACTCTCTGGGTCCCAGTATCGATCAGCGGCATTTGGGAGGAGGTAAATTGAGTTATAAGTCTTGTTTGGGAACATCATTTTTAGTTGTTGGCATTTTCGATTATTTTGGTATTGGTGCATATTAATCTTGAAAATGTTAACAGTAATGGATACCATTAGACCATGTATAGTCATGGAACCCTGATGGGGTGTTATTCGTCATGTGGCAGCCACCTCATCGGCGGCTCCATAACCTTAAAATGATGTAGTACATAAAGCCTTAAAATGAATGCGAGGCTTATGGCTTGGTGAAGTTGAATGAGAGGGGAAATAGAAACAAATAGAGAATTGGATGGATATTATTGTCTCTAAAATGTCTATGGAATTGAACATCACAAAAGTTAACCCTCTATTATTTGGTGAGGTGTTACCCACTACATTGGAATATGCTATAACATTTTTTGTGTGGGGTGATGTCATGTTGGAGTCTAGGAGATGCTTCAAAACTCCATTGGAACCACATTTTATTCAAGAATATTAGTGAGTAGAATAACATTAACTTTCACACTATGTTTTAAGGTAATATTTTTTGTTGGAGTTTCGGTGGGCCGAGTGAACTGGGTAGAGTATTGGGTGAAATTTAACTACTTATCCATATAAAGTTCGAATCCACTTTCAATCCAAAATCATAAGCTAATGAGTAGAACTTCATCTTTCTTTATATGAGAGTGTTATTTTTTTATTTTATCGATGTGGGATAAATCCAAACACACAGTTCCCAACACCACCCCTCAAGTGGTAACTAGTCTGGTCTAGTTACTACTTGGATGAATGAATGAGTTTAGCATCTCAATCTCTTTATAGCTAGCCCGGTGAATACCAAGATGAATAGAACCTGAGCCGAACTTGACTTTGATACCATGTTGGTATTTCATTGGGCCAAGTGAATTGAGCGAAGTATTGGGTGAGATTTGACCACTTAATTATATAAAGTTGGATCAACTTTCCATCTAAAAGTTTAAACTAATGGTAGAGCTTCACTTTTCTTTATATGAGAGTTATTTATTTGATTTTACGGGATAAACTCCAACACACGCTACCCAAAATTATTCGAATACGATATTATATCGTACTCCGTATTAAGGTCAAAGCACACACCACTGCTTTAAAAGTTAAAGAATAATTAATATAAAAAAACTAATTGATGAACGTAAAAATATTTGGTGCACCTATATGTTTTTATATCTTTACTCAACAAACTATTGTTTTGTACGTAGTAAATTAAATTGGCAAATCATATTTTAAAGTACCGAGTAATTTAAAAGACAAAGATAAAGTAGATCAAAGCCACACAAATAAAGTTATAAAACAATAGCTAAAAATATTTATAAAAAAAAACAAACGTAAATGTATAATTAATCGATTATTTTAATATTTTAATAGTAACAGTGTTCTCGTAGTTCTTGTCGTTTTAAATTGTTTTGCACTATTTTGAAAACATGTACTTCCTCCGTCCTAAAATTAATTTCTTATTTTGACTTTTGTAGTCAAAGTATTTAAACATTGACTGCATATTACGGAAAAAATATATTGAATTTTCATATAAATTTAGTATCAATAGATTCATTTTGAAACATATTTTTGAAATGTATTATTTTGATAATATATATACATATAAAATTGGAGATATTAATGGTCAATGTGCCGCATTGGAGACCGTGAAAAGTCAAATGGGAAATTAATTTTAGGACGGAGGGAGTATCATGTTAGTTCCGTTCAAACAATATTAAGCCCGTAGATCTCTAACAATTTTTTGGATCTCTAACCACGGGCTCAAGTAGGTTTAAAATTTTGATTTTTTTTAATCGAATTTTTTTAACTTTTGACCTATACTTAATTAATAGTGTAATCACCCTAAATAAGACTAAAATATAGAAAAAAGTACCAAAATAAGTAGAATAAACCTTGAAATAAACCTACTTGAAAGTAGAATAATGTCAAGCTCACATATGACAATATAGAAGAAGCGGTGAATTCGTTGTAAGAGCTAAATTCAAAGTGGTAGATATTGTACTATGGTTCAAAGTTAACATCACAATTAAAATTTGGGTAATTTACCTAAATAGGACTAAAACATAATGACTTTCCCAATATAGAAACATATGTTTTTATTTCCCAATGTAAGATCTTTGGTCATTATCAAGTAGTCATTATTCAACTAAATGTCCATCATTACTGGACATTATTCCTTCTACTAGGTCTTTATTAAGTCTTATTTAGGGAATAAAAAAGTTTAAGTCCTACATTTGGAAAGTCATTATTTTTTAATCCTATTTAATGCAAATTTCACTTAAAATTTCAGATTATGGCTCGTTTTACTCTTACATGATTAACATTTATACATAATACGCGCATGTAATGTATATTTTACGAATTTTTTAATACAGGGAGTAATTATGTTATGATTGTTTGACCACAAAAATCATTTGAAAATTTTTAAAAGTTCAAAGACTTTTACCTACTTATGAAACATGGATTATATATGCATATAACTCTTATGGAATTTATGTTTATTTATTAATGGAGATGTTATTTATGAATAAAATCAAAGTGTTGCGTGACTCTATTATACAGTACTCCGTACTCTTATCATAAGTTATAAATCACCATAGCATTATCATAAGTTATAAATCACCATAGCATTTTTAAACCACAGTGGTTCGTTTTAATTTTTAGAAAAGATGAAGACGACCACGGCGGCGATTGATTATGTCATGGAGGCTTCAACGGGCCCACACTTCTCCGGTCTTCGCCTGGACGGACTCCGGTCGCCTGCCGCATGTTCTCCTCGCTCCTCCACCGCAACTCCTACTGCATTCGCCCCATCTTCCGCTCATTTTACCGATTCCTCCGTCCACAAGCAGCCTTTCGTCATTGGTACAACCTATCTGATTGTTTATTCCTTTTAGCAATTATTTGGATCAGTGACACTACTTTATGTTATATATCCGTTGGTTGTTATGTATGTGTGGAAATTTATCGTCTTGGATGATGCGTGCAAGGAAATCCTGCTGTGGATTATGCGATTCACATTCGATTTTACTCGTTTGATTGTTCCGCAGGGGTTTCCGGAGGTACTGCTTCTGGGAAGACCACCGTTTGTGACATGATTATTCAACAATTGCATGATCATCGCGTTGTGCTTGTCAACCAGGTTTCTTTTCAATTTCATCTTCTTCTTTTCAATGTTTCCACTTGATTTATGTGCAAATGTTTGAGTTTCTTGCAGTATGCTTGTAAATTGTACTTCGTGGAGTTTAATATACTCCGTAATTGTTTAATCACTTCTCCTAACACCAGTAGCTTTTACTCGTGAATTGAGATTTATGAAACTGTTATCTTCATCTATGATCACCATAATATCCTTTTTCGTTAGCATGAATAGTGTGGTATACATACTGTTTTGGGGTTACTAACGAAGTCTTGTTTGTTGGAGGTGCATGGCATGCTGTTTTTATACCATAATAAATACGTACATCGAGACTGCTGATTTGCTAAGTCATGCTTTTGGTAATACTTAGGATTCTTTCTACCGTGGGTTAACCCCTGAAGAGTTAAAACATGTTCACGAGTATAACTTTGACCATCCAGGTACTCAAATTTTTTAATTAGGTATGGTTGCCTTCTGTCGAATTAATATGACTTTCCTTTGTCTTCATATATGGTATAGGATCATTGATTATGGCACAGAGATTGTGTCTTTTTTTCAGATGCTTTTGACACCGAACAGCTTTTAGAGTGTGTAGGGAAGCTCAAAGCTGGACATTCTGTCCATGTTCCCATATATGACTTTAAGACTCACCAAAGATGCTCTGATAGTTTCCGTCAGGTATCTTGTTTTATCACTTTCACCTGTTTGTGTCATTGCTGATTGATACAGCTTCTCTACTATCAAGTAGGGGCAAGATCTGCACACAGCCTCCTTAGACTACTTCTTCTGTGGGATCTTACTTTGTTTGTTGTTGCTGCGTTAAGTCACTTTCCTAAGTCACTAATGGTGCAGAGTTCCAGGTAAATGCATCAGATGTAATCATCCTCGAGGGAATACTTGTTTTTCACGACTCGCGGGTCCGTGATTTAATGAATATGAAGATTTTTGTAGATACAGGTTTGCCTTCTTAAGTCCTATTTTCTTTGTTGCTTGCTTTGATGCATTTTTGGCTTCAGAGTGGAATGTTTTCCATAATCTTGCTCCACATTAATGTTTCTTCTACTGTTTCTCAAATTGCCACTCAGATTTCCTCTATATGATAATAAGATGAAGAGCATGACACCTGGAAAAGGAATAAATAATTCATAAGTTTTTAGACTTTTATTAGTGTCTTATGCTCTTAAACTCTCTTTTAGATATATTTATCCCTTTTGGATTTCACACAAATTTGAACTCGCTAGAAAATACTACGTATAAACAAGATGACTTGAAGCAGTTGAAGGTGACTTGGATTTAACAGCAGTTACAAAGTTTCTCAAATTTGTAGTTTTCTCTTTCTGAATGCAGAGATCCTTACAGTCACTTATGGATTTTGAAGTTAACTATGCTTGAGATCACTATGAACGAACAAACATCTAATGTCATGTTTTTCCACCATACATTTGATACTTTTAATGTGGTTATATTGATAATGTTGATTTATGTACTTTGTATATTTTGCCATCAAAGACCTTTCGCTATCTTTGTTATAAAAAATTTCTTTAGATGCTGATGTAAGACTTTCCCGCCGAATAAGGCGCGATGTTGCTGATCGGGGCAGAGATTTAAACTCAGTTCTTGAGCAGGCAAGCTTTATCTCACTCAAGTATCAGTTTTTGAAATCTTGAATTAGAGCATCCTTGTATTCTTCTCACCAAACTGTAGTGGATCTTTTTGTTTTTACTTGCTTTATGAAGAAATGCTTCATTTATGTTGCTCCAAAAGCAAATGTTTTTCACCATGCAAGCATTCCCGTGTCAATTTGGAGCATGTAAGGAAATCTGGATTAAAAGCTGATAAAATTTCCTAGTCGACTCGTAATCTTACAATGATGCCCACTCACACACAAAAATCTTTTTTGCCTTTTTGGATTTTTTTTGGGTCTAAAAACAGATCCCACTTTCGTGAATGGAGCTAATTTTTCATGTAGTGTGTCTTAAACACATTTCAAACAAGATCAATATGATGATTTAGCTATACCAATTTTTTTTGAAAGAATATAAGTACGACTCGGTAACTTTAGCAGACTTGACCTTTTCTGGGGACATATGGAGTATAGAATTAACAAATACGAATATGAAATAAACAAATTCCTTAAAACCTTTGTTTCATGATCCTCCTTTAGTGCATGATCCAAGAGAGTTATTTGTCATTGTTGTGAATCAACATTTTTTCTTGTGCAGTATGCGAAGTTTGTCAAGCCTGCTTTTGATGATTTTGTTCTCCCTTCAAAGAAGTATGCTGATGTTATCATACCCAGGGGAGGTGACAACCATGTTGCTGTGGATTTAATTGTACAACATATTATGACAAAGCTTGGCCAGCATGATCTCTGCAAAATATATCCTAATGTATATGTTATTCAGTCAACATTCCAGGCATGTATTTTTATACACTATATTACTTTTTCATTGCAGTATCTTAAGGTTAAGTTAGTGGATAACAAAAAAATTGATGGTGTCTTTGGGAGTTGAGTATTCAAAAAAATGAAAACTCGAAGCTGGTTGTTGAGATTGATCTGAGTTGAGAGATGTAGTTGTATTCTTAAGTATATTATCTTATTAGAAAATTAGGCATCTTTCTCTAACACGTCAGAATTTCATTAGTAGTCATGCATACTAACAAAGCTAGCTAAAATTTTCATGTTTACAGATAAGAGGGATGCACACTTTGATCCGAGATAGGGACATCTCCAAACATGATTTTGTTTTTTATTCTGATCGGCTTATCCGTTTGGTGATCTACTTTTTCCGAGTCTTTATATTTTGGTACTCTGTACTAAACAAAGCCACAAATGGTTAATAGAGAAAAGTGTAACACTTACCACATGTTTTTTCATAGGTTGTGGAGCATGGTCTTGGTCACTTACCTTTTACTGAGAAGCAAGTAGTCACTCCAACAGGTGTTGTCTCATTAATTGCAACACAACCTTATTTCTAATTGATCATGTATGATTGGTTCTATTTATCTTTGTCTGTTAATAAATAAAAAAAGCACCCTCTGGAGTCGGACTCTAACATTGATCCACATGGAAGAAAATGATTTCAAAGTCAATCCAGATCCCAAACCTTTGCATCAAGATATGAGGGTGCGAAGTCACCCTTCTATCTAGAACCCCTCTCCATTCAGTAATTCATTTTAGCGCACACACACACACGTATGTGCGTGAGTCATTGAAGTGACTAAAATTTTGAACTTCTTGTTGAAATTCAGGGTCGGTATACACTGGGGTGGACTTCTGCAAGAAACTATGTGGGGTATCAATTGTTCGCAGGTTAACATTGAATACTGAATACACAGAATTCTGCAATTTTGTTATTGGTTTTAGTTTGAATGTTGGATGATTCTTTTGTAAAATTTAGTTGCAGTTATGTTGAAAACTGGGGAAATGGCAGGAAAAAAAAGACTCGAAAATGATTTTTTTATTGTATGGGTTTCCTTGGGGAATACAAAGACAATAACACCAACAACCGAGTTGGATTCCATGAAAGTAGGGTCTGAGGAGAGTGTGTGTACAGAGACCTTGCCCCTAGTCGAAAGTAGAGAGGCTGTTCCTAAGAGACCCCCGGCTCTAGTTGCATTGATAAAAATATCACAGGAGTTACATAAATGATTTTTCTTGTGGAACACAAAAGAAAATCAAAATTTAGTAGAACTTTATATTTATATGTCTTAATCATGATATAATAAAACATTTAAATAAAACTAGTTTAGACAAGTATCAAAAGTTGATTTATGTTGTTTGAAGCAATTGTTTATTTCCCACTACATTTACTTTCCAATTTCTTCAGTTTTCTTTCCCATTTTCTTTTCCATAGCATTTTCTTAGTTCCAATCTGACTCGTTACAGTTTTCTGTTTTCATCATTCTGAAAGTAGTCTCAATTAACTATTAGTTATCTATAGTGAGAGAGATAAATTCTGTTTTGTTATCAGTGGTGAAAGTATGGAGAATGCATTGCGTGCTTGTTGCAAGGGAATAAAAATTGGGAAAATTCTTATTCACCGTGATGGTGATAATGGTAAACAGGTAAATACTCTTGTATGGTTATTTGAAGTAAATTTGCAGTTACAAATGATGGCATGGTTATGGCATGATTCTTTTCTCTTTATTATGAACAGCTTATATATGAAAAACTCCCAAAAGATATATCAGAGCGTCATGTTTTGCTTCTAGATCCGGTCCTAGCTACAGGTGATAAACTGACAGTTCTTTATCTATATTAAAGCATGACATCAGTGGTTCAGATTGAATATGGTGAAGAACAAATCAATCTGGACCATTGGTAAAGTAACTTTACTATATCCGACCCCTTTTCATCTGGGGTAGGTTGATCAGCTCCATCATTATAACACACTGCTAGTGTCCAAATGAAGGTAACTCTGCTAACCAGGCAATCGAGCTGCTCGTACAAAAAGGAGTCCCTGAATCCCACATCATCTTCTTAAACCTAGTTTCTGTAAGTGTTTAGTCATTCACATCCCAAGAAAACGTAACTCTTGAACGATTTGTATTTGAGTTGGTCTCCCATGATTGGCGGCATGGTGAGAAGAGGCTAAATTATATTGCTCCCTCTGTCCTGGAATAATTAACCCACTTTACGTTTTCATTCATCCCAAAATAACTGATCCACACTGTTCCTTTCCCTTTATGGAAATTAAGATTATGTTGTTCAAAATACTTCTCCCTTTTCACTTTTCCACAACTTATCGACACTTTGTTTAACCTTCATGAAATCAAAATGGTCAAATTATTTTGGGATGGAGGGAGTATCTTTTTACCCCAAAAATTTGTAATGTTTGAACAAAGTGCAACTGCAACAAACCATCAATCATCCTTACATTGTTAAAAATCTATTAGTTAGCTCAACCAGATTTATCACATGTAACTTATTGAAGAGTGTAACTTATTGAAGACTAGATCAAAAAAGGTGTTTGAATTGCGACTCATATGTTAAAAAACAGTTTTTGAAAGGCAAAATATGGTTTATGTCCATGTAATTATAGTGTTTTTTGTTTTAGGCATATGTACAATCATTCTTCAATTCGTTATTCATCCCTGCAATTTCCATGTTGTGTCTTTTTAGTCACAGTTTCTATCAATGAAGTGGAAAAAAACTGAAGTCTTGAGGGTTTTGAGGGGCTTAAATGAAACCGGCAAAAATTATTAACAGAACATAATCCATATATGTATTTAAGAGGGACCTAAAAAAACTATATGCCTGGACAATTCATAATTCCATCCATCATCTATTGACTCTGCTCATTTTTTCTATGTGTACGTTTAGGCACCTGAAGGAATACATTGTGTATGCAAGCAATTCCCGTCGCTGAAAATTGTAACTTCGGAGATTGATGTTGCACTGAATGAAGAATTCCGAGTCATTCCCGGGTTGGGTGAGTTCGGTGATCGTTACTTTGGTACGGATGAGTGAGTGGGGATATTATCCTTTTGCTCACATCACTATTACTACTACTACTACTACCTCTCACAATTTGTCCTTTCCCTCCCTCTCTTTGTTGTCCTTCTTCTAGTGGTTCTGGTGTTTTGCACACCATTGCACATTCCCTTGGAAATAATAACAGTTCACAATTGAATTCTATTAAACAATAATGCTAGAAATAGCCTTAAGTTTGACACCACGGTTGATACCATTGGACTATTTTTCGCACAAACAGTAATTGTCTGTGAGAAATTATTGTATCTTAGTATGTCATCATTTGTGTCATTGGAGCATGGTCCTCTAATAAATTACTAGGGACTTGGGAGCAATGAGTCGCTTCTTGCGATGTACCCCTTTCATTAAGGCTGTGTGACCTTTTAAATAAATAAAAAGAAGTATTCATGATCTTAACTTCTGTACTACATATCAATTTATGGTGAATTTTCCTGACCGTTCATAGTGGATATTGGTATTGGTAGTAATACATACAAAGATTGAACCTCACCCTTAGAGTCTCATGGAAGTCCTAGGAATGAATGTACAGTTACTTACGAGAAATAAATTAAATTACTCTGTATAATCTTTTTTTTTTTATAAGACTCCGTATAATCTTACTCTCACATATAAGGAGGGAGAAATGCCCAAAGGTACATACAAAGATTTCATTCTTGTGCATGATCTCTTTCATGCATGAGGCGAATTTGGGGGGCATTACTCTTCTTGCGCCCTGCCTCGAATATTTGCGTTTTAATTTAAATTGTCTGTTTATTATTTACATAGTCAAATTTTAAATATTTTTTTATTCATTTTTCATGACAAATTCTATAATGGAGCTAGGATTCACCATGGACTTACATATGAGTAAAATAAGTATTTTTTAAATAAAACATAAAAAAAGATTTTTTTAATGTGACAAAGTCCACAAAAATGATATGCATTTAGAATGCACTAAAGTACTCCATTTTTATTACTAATTTGATAAAATAATATAGTTATGTCATCTCTTGTTTTATAAATTTTTTATATGATTTTCAAATATATAAATTTTATTTTTTGAATCTCATTTGAAAATAATAAAGTTATGTCATTTGAAAATAATTTCAATCAAATATTGTAAATAACAAGAGATAATTTAAAACAGGGGGAGTATTAAAAATCTTAGGTGGTTCACTGGTTGTATACTCACTTTTTTGGTAAAACTGTAAAAGACATGCCTCACTAAAGTTGCTGTTGTGGGCTTTTTTTTGAAAGGTTATGGGCTTTTTTTAATTTGAAGGGAAAACGAAAAACCCAAATGATAACAGTTTTTTTCCTCAAATCCGTACTACGGCGTGAAAGATTAATTACGGAGTAATTAAATCTCAGATAAAACTACGTAAAATTTCAATTTTCATCTCAATCCTCATCGTCTCCTCCGAAGTCGCCGAGGGCGTCTCCGATTAATCATCACTGCGCGCACCATTCGTCTTCGGGTATTTAACTTCACCTTGCAGATTTTACAAGAGATATTAGGGTTTAGGGATTTCGGGAATGTCACAGAGCAGCGGCGACAGCGGTCGAGGCGTGGCGTCCGGCGGTGACTTCTATCTGCCGGACGAAGTCTTATCTGTTATTCCGACGAACCCGTACGAGCAGCTGGATCTGGCCCGGAAGATCACTTCAATGGCGATTGCGTCACGCGTGACGAAGCTCGAGTCGGAGGTGGGCCGGCTCCGTGGAATGGTTCATGAGAAGGACCGCGCTATAGCTGAGCTTGAGGATAAAGTCTCAAACCTCGAGCAAGCCTATCAGGAATCCGAAATGAGATCGAAAATCACCCGGGAGGATAATGTATGAAGTTAATTTCATTCCCAAAAAAGCAGCAATTTCTTCCTCCTTTTTCCTTTTATATGTATTTATGTCCCCTTGTCATGACATTTGTACATTTCCGGATTGTTTGGAATTAACAGATGAAGCTTTTGAAGGAGAGGGATACATTGACATTGACTGCAAAGAAGCTTGGTCGTGATCTAGAAAAGGTACTATTGGAAAATTAAAGTGAAATGCTGGCCTTATCATTCTGATTAATTATTTTTTTGCATTTATATGTGTTATTTTTGGGGTGTACCAAACATTTGTGTTATGGATACGATTATGTTATTAGGGGAAGGGTGGAAGTGGTGTCTGTGGGGTATAGTATGTGAGAAGCTAATCGTAGGTGGGTTGAGCACATTTGGTGGAGGAGTGCAAAGGCCTGTAAGGAGATGCAAAAGGCTTGTTGCAGTGGGCTTGATAAGGGGGTAAAGGTAGACCTTAAAAGAGTAGGAAGTGATTAGACAATAGCCAGGACTTACAAATTCACTATCTTTCCAATGTTATGATCTTAGATAGAAACGAGATTTAGGATTAGAGTCATTGGATAGACTTGTGGGCCTTAGTTTATGCTAGATTGTTTTTATACCTTAGTCCGTAGTTTGTGTTTGTGGGCACTCTATTCTTTCTGTGTTGTTGCTAGAGTCATTTGTGTGTTTTTTGTCTATGCTCGTTTTGTTTGTGCTAGTATTGTTTCTTTGTCCATACTTCTGTATTTGAGTCGGGGTCTCTTGGAAATAGCTTCTCTACTACCTAGTAGGGGTAAGGTTTGGGTGTACACACCCCCTCCAAACCATACCTTTTATGCGGGTTTACTGGGCCTATTGTTGTTGTTGTATGTTTGGGGTGTACCGGCATCAATGGTTGTAAATTATTTTTCATAGGCTAGTAGTGTAGTTTCAAATCTGTTGAGTGTTTCTTTTATTTTCTTCAAAACCGAGAGCCGAATGAAATGGCCAATAGTGTTATGATAGCAGTTGGTTATCATCATATGAAATGTTTCTATGTGCATAGATACAATTCCACACACTATTGGGTTGTTTGACACTTGACAGAAAGAAAACTACTCAAAGGCGCTTACTTAAAATGCTACTATCATTGTGACTTATTGCTTTTATATCAGCATTTTGTTATTGAGAGTGAATGAGCATTGAAAAGAAGTATCCATGGATTTTGTTCTCGATATATTTATTGGTTTTTCTATAGCTATTAGTAAAATTCAATTTTTTTCCAAAAAGAAAAAAATCACGGTTCTTTTTCTGCATTATGCTTATATGCAATTTGAACTGATGACTGTTTACAGCTGGACACGTTCAAGAGACAATTGATGCAATCTCTGAGCGAAGATAATTCAACTGTAAGATCATACTACTTGTTCTTATAATTTCAGTTTGGTAAGGCCTGAAATGGCTGAATCTGCTTGAATAGTAGGCTAAAATGGTTGGATAGGCGGAATCTGCCTAACCAAACATACCCAGTATATCCCACTCATGACTATGGTGTGGGGGTAAGGGAAAGATGTATGCAGACCTTACCCCTACCCCAAGATGTTTGGCTGAATAAATTTAATTATCCAAAAGAAGGCTTAAAATATATTAAATACGTAATATTTCTTAATCATTAATAAAGTTAATTTATAAAATGAATATAGAACTGTCATTTCCATTAATTTTAGTTGTTCCAAGAAAAGAAGAAACTCACGTCTTACTTTTTATTACCATCCAATTTCTTCTAAGTTACTAAGTTTTTAGTGAAAAAACTTGCTAACAAGGTCCATTATTATCTCATTTGTGGTTCATACTTCATATATGCCTTTGTTGGAGACCCGTTTTTCTTTACAAACATAGATTTGTCTATAATGACTTAAGCACAAATGTTCTTTCTGAGCATTTCTAGCTATCAGAAGCTGTTGATGTTGGGACTCGTGATCAAATAGCAGCTAAGGCAAATCCTCCTAAAGGCAAGTCTCTGCTTTCATTTTGTGATGATTATTTGTTCAAATGTTTGTGGTTTGTACGTGTGTGCATGGCATTCCTAGTAGTGAAGATATATGGTAAGGCCGTAGCCCGTAAGGGTAAGGGTAAGCATTTTGGTTTGGTTTGACCGCTCCGAACCAAACCAAGCTGAATTACAAAAACAACAAACCAGTAGAATCCCATGAAAGTTGTGTCTGGGGTGGGCTTCTGTACGGAGACCTTACCCGTAGAGAGGTTGTTTCCAGGAGACCCCCGGCAAAACCAAGTTGAATTAGCTAACATAAACCAAATGATATGTGATTCTATTCTGGTTTGAATTATTTTTCCCAAACTTATTAATTTGAACCAAACCAAAACCCATTAAAATTAAGCTCAACAAATAATTACAATAAACTCCTACAAGAACAAAAGAACAAATTCGAACCAAAGTAAGTTTTGTTTTACTCTGGCCATCATTTTCCAACCTGTTTTGTACCAACACATGCCAAAAATTGTAAAAAATCAAACCCAAAATGCACACCCTTGTGTCTAGTTTGTTTGTACTGTAATGTAATCTAATGGGGCAGCCCCCTTATTTCTCAGGGAATGCTGCTAATGGCTACACCACACAATATGCCCTTAATGGATCTAAAGAGAATGCAGGCATAGCTGATGATGGTATCTTTACATGCTAAATTCTCTTTGAATAATTTTGTGAAGCATCAAAAGCTTGTTCATTTAATTTTTAAAATAATGTTTGATCCACAGCATCCAAACAAGCTCTTCAAAGATTTGCAGTGACACCTTACATAACTCCTCGGCTAACCCCAACTGGAACTCCAAAGGTAGCATCTGCTAGTGTATCTCCCAGGCGATATTCAGCGGCTGAATCTCCCCATATACCATCAGGCACAACTTCACCTACAAGTTTTCAATATGAAGGACGGGGTTCAATGTCGTCATATTTTCCATCAAGCCAGCAATCTTCAGCAGCAAACTCTCCTCCAAGATCACGCCCTATTTCAGGTTTAAATCTCTACTGCCCTTTTTCCCCATTCCTTTTGAAGCTTAAGGGTCTGGTTTGTATGGAAGGTTTTAGAGTGCAGTACTTTGCATATTTTAGTCCATATCTTGAAGAATAGAATGCTTCGACAAACGAAGAATGGGCGATCAAATTTTTATAAGATAAATAGATTTGTTATCTTATAGTAGTTGGTTAGACCTCTCAGGATTAGTTTCTAGTTATTGTTGGGGTGTTTTTATGCCTTTTTACGCCTTGTCTGTAGCGGTGCTTGTGTGCTTGGTGTCTTTTTGCTTTGTGTGTTTTGTAGCGGGTGCTAGAGTGGTTTTTGTGCTTCTTTTGTCTTTACATGCACTTCATGCGTGCTTCTGTGGTTTCTTTGTTTGCACTTCTCTCTTTGAGCTGCGAATCTCTTGGAAATAGCTTCTCTACTACCTAGTAGGGGTAAGGGCTGCTCACACATCCTCTCCGGATACTACTGTTTGTGGAATTTTACTTTGTTTTTATTGTTGTGTTCGAGACAGCTTTCTACATCCAAGTAAGGGTATGGTTTGCATGCATACACCCCCTGACCCTA